CATTGTAACTTGTACATAATCTTTGAATATATTATTTTTCTTTTGTTATTGAAATTTATTTCTTATTCACTACGTCACACAGGGAAGGCAACGGGAAACCACCCTGAATAATTTATCCCAAGAAAACCCGTCACGGGTCACCTAACTTCCGTATGTGGAAGATAGGGCCGAAGAAGAAGAAGAAGAAGAAGAAGAAGAAGAAGAAGAAGAAGTGTAACATAGTCCTCCAGTTTCCAAGACCACGAAGGAGCAATATTTTGCAATTTTACTCCATAATATTTTACTTACAGTTCAAATAATATGTTTTGATTTTGCAAAAAAATAAAGATTATTAGAAAAACAGATGTCACCTTGAGGTGCTTTTGGGCACTGTAAATTGAAGATATTCAAGTAATTAAAAAAAATTGTGCGTATACGCATTGCGTCTCCTGACTCCTTAAGGCGCGTTGAGTGCAGTGGAGTAATCCTCCATTATTAAGCGCCCTCTAGGGCCGCTGGGTAATCTAGTTAGCGCAACTGCAGTCTAGTGACGTCAGTCACAGTCAAGTCAGGGAATCGCTGACGGTAGTGTCTTGGCGCTCGCATCTCGCTCGCGCCCTGCATCATCTACCCATCGGCCAGAATTGGGAAGGAATAAGGAGAGGGGTAAGTTTGAAGACGCTTCACAGGGGTTGGACTAACCCCTGTGAAGAATGTCAACTCGTTTTGTCGCAACAAATTTTACATGGGGTTCTACGGGGATTCTGCGGGAATTGAACCCGGAACCTAAGAAATGAAATGGAAGTGACTTCCCCACTGAATAACGAGAGCACTATTGAAACTTATTTTTCGTTTCGTTGTGAAAACATAACATGAAAACATTGTACATTAATATTTACTTACAGCAAATTTACAGCGTTTGGAGAAAATTGCAAAAACAATTAATGGGCAAACCTTTGTTTTCGATTTTTTTTAGTTCTTTTGTATCAAATAACGCAATTTTCTTTGCTTAGAATTTCGTCGAGATTATTTTGGAATATTTCCAGTTGTTGTACCCTAACTTCCAGGGGATTTTGAAATTTGACAATATATTCCTGTACAATGGCCCTGCGAAACACTCAGTATGTCATTTTGAGACTTGGTTCTGTCGATCTTTTTAGCAACCAGCCATTGTGACAGGCAGCACCAAGGTCGAAGGCGAAGAGTGGTTACCTTCACTTACGACCTCTCAGCGACACTCGTAGCGAATCAGCGTTCTCACAGAACTCACGTAAAGATTGCATTTCCGTATTATATTTTTATTTATTTACGTCAAAAACTGTTAAAAACTGTGTGATGGGGAGAAGTTAATTTGAAGTTACATTTATGCCCAGAAGCAAAACAAGTGGACATCTCAGCATTTGATCAAGGATCAGGGAAACGAGGAAAACCTGATCGAGAAGGGGGTCATTGACCCAGAAGGTGAAGTACAAGAAGACGTGTTACAAGTTCTTTAGAATTACACAATACAAATGGTAAATAATAAAATGTCATTGTTAAAATTAATATTACTTTGCTTTTGGATGCTCGGTATATTCTCTAATTGTATAGAAACAGTTGTGCAGCAGAAAATATTTTACTTGGCACTTAAACTTTTGTAGCGAATTTAATCATTTAATGTCATCTGGCAAGGTGTCGTAAAATAATCTACATGTATTATATGCGCCTTTTTTGTAGTAAGTTGTTGATACTGTTACCTACGTCGAGTGTTGAAGTTATAGACAACGGCGTTTGCTGAAAATATATTCCCGCCCTTAAGTAAGTCATTTTTGACAAAAACTACCGATTAATGTACCGAGAGCATATTAATAAAGAGACATTTACAAGAATCACGTGGGTGGGATTTGCTTATTATTCGCACAATTCTTTTTTGTAATCTAAAAGTCTGGGAGCTATAAGATGCATTTCCCCAGAATATTATACCATATCTCAGGCGTAAATGAACATTCGCTAAATATACACAACGACCAGTATTTTGGTAATCAATGTCCACTTTTTGTTTCTCTCCCCCAAATAGTACCTATTCTGACTACTTTCAATACTGGATGAATGCCATGACAGTTTGATAACACTAATATTTTACTGTTATGTATAGTTTCTATCCAAATTTTATGGGTTTGCCGGGCAAAGCTGTTTGGTATTGTTTTCCAGAATATGTGACCTTGGTTTCATCCATATATACATGGGAGGAGCCAACAAGATCAAAATTATCTTTGAAATTTTCATTAGAACTGATAAGTAGGGTCTAACGTTAGAAACTTGGTCATCAGCATTAAGGTTCTAAATCAGCTAAGTGCAAATACTGTTGGATTTTGATTACCTGTTCCTTCTCATACTATATGAAACAAATATATGCAAACATATACATGAGACTGTTTCCCAGAACATTCTCACGTATTTAAAAACCTATAATCAAGTGCAAACCAAAATGCCTAGAGAACTTTTTATTTCAGCTGTTGTAGCATGCAGATTTCTTTGAAGATCGTATTACTTGCTTTGTTCTCGTACCATTTCCACGATTTCCTTTGAAAAGAGTTTCTCAAACCAATCTTCAGAAAATACTTAGACCAAATGTACTGGACAAAATGTTGTTCTTTATTGCCATATCCAGATTTTTTCACAAATTTACTCTCGTTAAGTAACCAATTTCCCGACTCTTTTTTTCTTCTTCACGCTTAAAGACTTTATTTGGGCATCGTTAGAGGATGGCCCATTTTTATTGCCTCAAAAGCATTGTTTTGGATAATTGTGTGTGGCTATTGCAAAAGTTCAAGATATAATTTTCATTGCAAAATAAAATATATCACCGCCATTTCTGGGGAATTTTTTATACCTCCATTTCAACTGTCGTCCTCAACATTTTTTCAGGACGGCAATACGTATCATTTGTGCCTTTATAACTTTCCTCTTCTTTCTGAAGCCCCCACGATGGTAAAAATAAAGTTATTTCAAGATCATCATATTCTGCTTATAGATATGTAAATAACGAGCGAGACTGAAAAGTAACGTTAGCCACTTAACCTCATAATGCCCAAAGACACCTAGAGATTACTCATTTTCATTTCGAAACAGCCGTGATATAAAGAATTCAAACAATTCTAAACAAATTTAATCTAAATATCTCAACAATTAACAAAAGAAAAGTATGTATAACAAAATAATACTTAAGGTTTTGAAGACATTATTTCAATTATTATGCGGCGAGCGCACGAAAAAACACACACACTGTGGCACCTCTCAGAGATTAAACACATTCACAAAAGAAAGTTGCGCAACAACAGAAAAGTTTTGTCTTATGTAATACTTAAACTGAATAATAGATAGCGTTTAAGTAAAATATTAATGCGCAAGTAAAATGTGGCGTCGACGCAGTAAAGCGCTTCAAAATACTTTCATGAGTTGAAAATTTCTTTGGCGCCCAGCTTTGTTCAAATATGTCCTTTGCACACTTACTTAAGAACGTAAGAGTGAGAAGTCGATTATAACTTCCATTCATTCTCTAGCACATTACTCAGTTTTGCTTTCTCCATATTCACTTGAAATTCTTCAAGTTTAATACGTTCTGAGGTAATACTGTTCCTAGTTTTCGCAAATTTATTTTAAAAAATATGACATTTCGAAACTAAATCAATCTGCAGCGCGATTTACTTGGTAATTCACACTTAAAGACGTAAACATCAGTGTTGACAACGTCGTGAAATACAATTATGGCGTAATGAGCAAAAAATACCTTTGGGTTCTGGTGTTTAATCAACAACATCCACATAGATCGATTTAGTGCACGAGTAGTAGTTCCAGTAGTGCACGGGGGTGGTCTAGCTGTGAGTGACGCACAATTGCACATACTGTTTTACTCAAATACTGTATAGGGATTAGGATAATCATTCATTAAACATGTGCCACTTCTAGGTGCCTATGGGAACTGGTGGGTTAATGTCATCGGCCACTATAAAATATCCACGTTTAGCTCGCTCTTTGTGGTTAGGCGGAAACGTAGGGATTTTGGCCTAACCTTGCCATAATATGCATTTTGTATTATAAATTGTATTGTGAACTTACCTTCCAGGAAAAGATATAGATCCGCATGATTTAGCGAAGATATCAGCATCACTTTCTGGCGGAACCCATACTTCGGGATTCACCATTGTATGATTGAACCTGTCAACAATAATAAAACAATGTGTTAAAATGATTAATTTGCCTTTCAAGCCTCTATTTTTAAAATTATGTTAACTAATTTAGAAACTTTCCTAATTGGATTTAGAAACTTTCCTAATTGGCCACGGTCAGATATAGTTACGGTGTGTCATTATTTTATCTAGCGTCGTTCTCTAGCCAGATTATAATATAAAATCTGATTTAGGGAGGATTCAGAGTTATTTAACACGAAGTTAGATACACGACAAAATATGCACTTCTACGAAAACTAAAAAAAGATTAAATATATATATATATATATATATATATATATATATATATATATAGTGATGAACCCATTACGTGAATAAAAACTAAAAAGGAACAAGAAAAATATTTTACGTGCAGTTGCGTGGGTGTCGGGGAAGGGCAGAGGGAGGGTGTATGCGGTACGGCCCGACGCGCGCCACGGGGTCCGGGGATCCCGCGGAACAATGATAAGCCCCTTGAGACGGCTACTGCATTATGACACGAGAAAAGGGGACACGCGGCTCGCTGGCGAACGCCGTCGCGATCATTGCCGACGCCACAGATCGGGCGGGCAGGGAGGCAGGCGTAACGAGGCCAGAGAAGACTGCCCACCAATAAACCGATCAATCTTAGAACAACAACGGCGATCTTGGATGCGTAATGGATCTCACGAGGATTCTAAAAACTACACACACTACACACTGCTAAAATCTACATGTGGTCGAGCAGGGAACGACGTACCGCGCTAACCTAAATTCAGTGAGTAAAATGGCGTGTATGTCATCTCATAGAGAACATTTCGCACTATTTCTACCAAAAGTGTAAAGAAAAAAATTGGAGCAGTTTTCCAGAAAATCTTAGTTTTCGTAATTTTTTAAAATTGAAAATATTGGCCAAAACGACCAATAGTTTAAAAAATGTAGATACCCTTAATAAAATAACTATTTATAGACAATTTTCATGAGGGAAAAATCGCATACTTCAATTTTGTAGTTTTACGAAGAGGCACAATAAATTTTAAAATTTTCGAAAATTCAGAGTTAATCATGAAAATAGGACCTATGCGATCATTACAAGTGTATTTTACTCTTTTTACAAGAAATTTAAAGAAGAAGTAAAAGTCGTTTTTGAGAAAATTTTGAAAATATATCAGTGGCTTCTTGTAAAGTACCCCCAAATTTTACAGAAATTTTTTCAAAACCTCAAAGATTCGACTCTGCCAAGGTTTCTTCAAATTGCCAAGGTTTCTTCAAATTGGAAAAAAATATGATTTAGACGCTAGTGGTGTTCACAGTCAGACGGACGTTTTTGCCGTCAAGAGGCTTTTCGGTATCAAGAACCCACAAAACAAGGATTCTCGTTGCGCCATGTGTTAGAGAATTTGTTTCTTAATTTAGGGACTGAATTTATCTACTGTTTCGTTATCATGCCCCGGCAATGAATTTTTATGCCGAAAAATCCACCGTTTCTTCGTGCAGCATTACATAACTTTCTCGATACTACGCACGTATACGGCGTGTAAAATAAGATTTAATCAGATGTAAAATGTTCATTTATTGCAAACAATATGCAAATGCATGTTGACAAATGTTGAACAGAAATAAAATTACTTCCGTGCATTGAACATATCATAACATCATTATTATAAGATGAGACCAAAATTCCAAGATTATTTTCGGTGAGAGCGTAGGCTTCCGCGGCCGGAGTCCGTATTTACTAGGCTGTCCGGGTGACGCCGCGTCCATGGCGACCGAAACGTCGGCACCTTCGCCATGGACGCGGCGTCACCCGGACAGCCTAGTAAATAAGATTATTTTCGTCAGTCGATTTGTGTAGTGGGATGCGCTGCGGGAGTGGCTGTGGGCCGGCGCTCACCAGCTGTCGCTGAGGTGGCCCGCGAGGCGCAGGCCGGCGCCGTAGGGCGAGGGCGCCAGCGCCACTTCGACGCGCGCGTAGCCCAGCACCTCGGCCAGGAAGATGCGCAGCAGCTGCGCCGCCAGGCGGTGCGTCAGGCGCCGCGACGTCTCCAGCCGCAGCGGCAGCCGCTCCCCGCTGAAGAACACGTGGCGCTGCGGCGGCGGCCGATCTGCGCACACACGTTACTTCCACGCGATTGCACAAACAACGAGCGGGGCAGCCTCATCTTCATTTGACTTCTTAACCGACTGTTAGCTTGTTTACTACCCACTAGTCCCCTTTCCGTTACTTCACCAGTACAATTGTAGAAGGAAAAGTGGTGAAAACCCGATCAATGACTAGGTAAATCCAGCAAATCAATAATATAGTTTTACATGCACATTAGAAATTATTGAAGTAATGTTGATCAATGGAGACCAGAAAAATATTTGTGTATCACCATCACAAAATAATTTTTTTTTTAAATTTTCGTTACTGAATCCGACGACTGTATAAAGCTGTTATGGCAGACACAAACTAACATGAAATTTGAACTTTTATGTACAATTTACAATTGTAAATGTCTTGAATGTGTTATAAAATAACCGACAAGCATTATGTACGGTACATATTTTTATAGAGGTCTGTAACCACTTCTAGCCACTTCGGTTCCTAAGTTAAATGAACCATAGCCAAAGCAAGTCTGCCACGAGCGTGCGTCGCTCCCACCACCACCCTCACCTCCACCATCTTTAAGTAAATCAATATTAGCAATCAGGGATTCTTTTTAGTTTGGTCGTCGTCGGTGGTCAGCATTAATCGTAAAAGGAGAAATGAAGTAAAATATCTTCAACATTAGCCTTGGTGGTGTTGGGGGAGACAGACAGCGAGATCATGATTAGGGCAGACAGCGAGACGATGGTTGTTGGGAGGGGATGTAGCACACAGCGAGACGATTGAGGTGGGGACAGACAGCGAAATGTTGGTGGTGGGGGACAGACGAGATGATGGTGGTAAGGGACAGACGAGATGATGGAGGTGGGGGACAGACAACGAGATGGTGGTGGGGGACAGACAACGAGATGGTGGAGGGGGACAGACAACGAGATGGTGGTGGTGGACAGACAATGAGATGGTGGTGGGGGACAGAGAGCGAGACGATGATGGGGTGAAGACTAGGAGGCGATGGTGGTGGGGGGACAGCGAGATGGTGGGTGTAGGGGGATCGAAGGAGCACTTACCTAGCGAGCGCAGGCACTTGGAGGGGTGTGGCTGTGGGTGGGGCGCGTCCTCGTGGGCGGCGCTGGCGAGCGTCGGCGCCAGCAGCAGGAAGAGCAGCGCCAGCGCCAGCGCCCCTCCGCCTCGCTGAACCGCCTCCATCGCCCTCCTCCTCCCACGCTACCTGCGCACACACAAACCACTTGTTACACGCGAGCACGGACCTAAAGAGAGAGGAAAGGTTTCCTCAACTTGCGGACCGCCATCTCTATCGTAGGAATCGTGACTCTGCCACAACTGTCGACGGGGTACAGAGGGCAGTCTGGCTCTGGGACGATGTAATGTTTCTCGCGTGCATTGAAGACTGAATTTATGTGGATATCCCAACCATCACAGAGGAAACTTCTGTCGTTCTTATGCGAATTAGGAAGTGAACTAACGTCGCCTGAGAAATAGAGAAGGGTTCGCTGTTGTTTCGCCACAATGCGCGTAATAAGCGTACTCCTTCAGTGTTCTTTCATATTTAATAAGCTGTAATGTCCACCACTGAAAAATAGCAATTTAGTTAGAAAACACGAAAGACTAGTATAGCGAATGAAATTCACTCTTCAAGAATTTTTAAATCAGGAAATCCTAGATTCGCGTTCCAACGCTGGTAGAATTTTTTGACACCATGTGATGGGTCTCGTCGGGACATAATGCCTGCAGCTATCCTCTTTCTAAAGATGAATTTTGAAGATGGTATGTGATGGTCGGTCCTTCCGTGGTTTCCTCTGATCACTTATAGGCGGATGTAGGAGCGATCCCCTAAACAAGGCCATGAGCCGCGCGCACCATCCGTGTTCCCCGTGACGCACCAGTAGCGGCTCGTGCATTTTTCTCTGCGGTCTTACATTTTATTTCTGTTATCTTGTTTTTTTTTCATGTTATTTTATTTTTTCCTGGATATGTTATACATCCCTCACCCATTCCTTTATCCAACTATCATCACCTCCAAACAGCAAGCATATGAAACAAAACAGCGTGTTCTTCTCGTCGCAGTCCCAGGAAACTATGTCATATAACGAAAAATGAAATTTTCTAGTAAATACTTCACGACTCTTGAAAGCAGATTCTATTTGTTGGGTGTCTAATTTAGGTACTGGGCGACAACTTTCTTTTAATTTAATTTTATCTGGTAAGCAAAATTACCTGAACACGAGTTGATTTTTATTTCGAGAAAAGGAACACTCATTTCGAAGCATCCAGATGCACGTGGGGAAGAGGACGCAACATTGCGCGAGCGGAAGGCTCAAAAAGCTCAGCCTCACTGCGCCCAGTCCCACAGCAAGAAGGGAGGAAGATCGTGGCCACGCCGAACCCAGGTGAATGGGGCCCTATCCAGCTGGGGGCGCCAAAGTGTGTTTAACGCAGGACAGTTTGGCGCAGAAGCAGACGTTCTGCTCGCCAATACTTCCATCAACAAATTACGAACCGCCCCTGTTCTGCACCCAATCCTACCCCCAGGGCTGTGCATGTACTGGCCATCCACCCTCTCAAGCGCATCGTGCAAACCTCCACAAGTAACTACTTGGTTGTCTGGGAGACCCTAGGCATCTACGACCTTCCTCCAGGAGGAAGGAAGCAGAATGACGGCCGAAACGTTGGTACCTGTATTTGGACGCTGCGTATCCCGCACAGTCAAGTAGTTACTAACACCCGCCGCCGAAGCCTACGCTCCGACTTCCACAGATGTCGGACATTGCAGCGTCCGTGTGATCAATGAAATTTGAAATTCGGTGGGCGAGCAAAATCAAATTAGGCAATAGGATAATGGTCGATCTACCGGAGGAAAGGAAATCATGTGTGAGGAGAAGGAAGAGCAAAGTATGTTTCTAGCAAACTATATCTCGGTCTGATGGGAAACTATTGTTGTTTTTTTTCGGGACAATTTCAGTGCAATTTGAGAAAATACCCTAAAAACACTTTTTTTTGGGGGGTGGGTGGGTTAAGGCACTTACAGAGGTTATCAATTCAATTCAATTTCATTGCCCTTCTCTTGACTGAATATTTGGAACTATTTTGAATCTGATCCTTCTCGAAAATTGCTGTTCTAAAGCCACTGTTACAACAGCACTTACTTTTTCCTATTACTATAACGATTACGCAATAAACCCACAAATGATTTTTCTGTCAAAAATCTGTAATTTTCTTGTAAGATTTTATAACGTTCTTACTATATAGTAGATACGTAGATACTATATAGTGGATACTACTATATAGTAGATACGTGGAAAATTGGGACAGGTATCTTGATATCACCCAAGAACACCTGTTACTGGTGGGAAAACCATGACCCAATGACTCGAAGCCGATGTAACTTCTGATATTCCCCAGGGGAGTGTAGCGCCTTTGCTATTCTTGACATTCATAAACGACATTGCAACAGGGATAAAATCGAAAATTAAGCGTTTCGCCGATGATTGCATAATAAATAGTATTGGCTCATCTTAAAAAATCTAACGATCGACTTAAAATGTTACAACTGGGCGTACTCCATTATATCATACTTCTTTCATTGGGACACCTAGAAAGGTTTTTTGGGTGTGAGTAAAGAACTTTCATTATATGACCATCTTATTTGCTTTTGGTACTTCTAGTACTTCAACACCCTACGCGTTTCCGTTTCTTGCGGTTAGTCCTCTTCCCGTAGGGTCAATTTGATGCATCTCAATTTGATGGAATTAAATCCGGAAAAAAGTAAATTCATTTGCTTCACCAAAACTTACCCTAATGGATAACCCAATTATGAGTTATGAACTGTTATACCACTTGTAAAAGTCTACGTATTTGGGTTTGGTTCTGCGACGCGACTTGGGTTGCTCAAATCACATTAACAATACGGCCAAAATATCTTGAAGGGCGTTACAATTTGTAATGTGTATTTTAAAAAACAGTTGTTCAAATGGACGATCCTTCGCATTTAATTATTATTCTTCGTCCTATTAAAACAAAACAAAACAAAACGGAATATATTGGGACCCGTACAGAAAAGGGCAAATCGAGGCGTTAGATGAAATTCAAAAACGGGCCGGAAAGTTTGTAAATGATGGGCGCGCTGTGGATGGAGAAGTGTGTCAGTCCTTAGCTAAGAGAAGGAAGCGGGTGCGTTTATGAGCGATGTGCAAGGCATACAGAGGGGACACAGCGTGGGCAGATATCTGTAAAAGATTACAGAAAGCAGATTATAAAATCAGAGGGAACCATCCTTCGAAAATGCAATGTAGCAAGCAAAGAACTAATGCAGGGAAGTTCTCCTTTATGAATCGCACTATAGTAGATTAGAACAAATTACCTGCAAAAGCACTAGAGGCTCTTCCATCTAATGTAGTCTAATTCAAAAACAAACTTAATTCCTATCATCGCTATTAATACATTTATTGTTATAATTATTATTCTTATAATAATAAATACTGTTTTCAAATTTTCTCTATTTCTTAATGATATGCTCAGGAATTAATGGGAATGGCCTTGTCCACTATTCATAGTCACTTCACTTCCATATAATCTAGCACATGGAGTGCAGAATCCAATATTTCGTGTTTTACAATGTTTCGACTTTTTTGAAGTGGGTCTTCTACTAACATCTCCGATTTATGTTCTCACTCCTGATAATTTGCCTGGAAGATATTTCTTTTTCTGCCTGGAAGACATTCTAGAGAAGGGCTGTTGTCATTCTCTCTTGCCGTCCTCCGTTTCGTTAACTCAACCTAAAAGTATTATTATTATATTATTAAATATTAATTAACATCCAAATAAGAGCACTATGTCGTGTCACTTAAATCGAACGGGTCGATATGTAAGCGCATAATTGTACGACAAGCGCATTATTGAGAACTGTTTATGTGGTGAAATGTGCTTCCCTCTCCGACAAACATCCTGCAGCCCGCTCCAATATCCGCTTTTGAAAACCTTCGACCCTTTTCAGTCGATAGCTTCTTTCTGCCCGGATACCAAATTGTCTCTGAAATGTCGTCAATCATACCATCAAACCGAGGGCACGATACGTGTTCCTTTGCAGTATTGCCTTTGAGGGATTTCTTTAACAATTTACTGAGGAAAACCCTATGAAAATGTTATTAAATCAATTGGGCGTCGGACTTCAATATTTTACCATCTTAGATTCCACTATGTCAATAGTCTGAATATTGGATTCATATTATTCTCATTCATCACTCTTACGCTGATAATTGTTTGCTTTCCTTATTTTGATCAAACAACAGTTGATCGGTTCAACACGTATTCACACACAAGCAAATCAGATAAAAAATGTTAAAAAAGCGTAACTTCTTCCCTTCCGCTCCTATGTACAAAAATAGTGAAGATTCAAATTTTCAATTGCGTAATATTTCCGGGAGTGACCGCTGAGAACCCCAATTCTCTTTGTCTCACTGTCTCTCTTTCTCTCCCTGTTTCTCACGCCGTTTATCTCTTTCTCTTTCTCTTTCTCTCTCTCTCTCTCTCTCTCTCTCTCTCTCACCGTCTCTTTCTCTCTCTCTCTCACCGTCTCTCTCTCTCTCACCGTCTCTCTCTCTCTCTCTCACCGTCTCTCTTTCACTCTCTCTCTCTCTCACCGTCTCTCTTTCTCTCTCTCTCTCTCACCGTCTCTTTCTCTCTCTCACCGTCTCTTTCTCTCTCTCTCACCGTCTCTCTTTCACTCTCTCTCTCACCGTCTCTTTCTCTCTCTCTCACACACACCGTCTCTCGTTCTCTCTCTCTCTCCCACTGTCTCTCGTTCTCTCTCTCTCCCAATGTCTCTCGTTCTCTCTCTCTCCCAATGTCTCTCGTTCTCTCTCTCCCACTGTCTCTCGTTCTCT